TAGAGATTTAGGACGTCAATGGGTCGACCCAATTCGTTTCCTTGTCCAATTGTGGAACCTTTCTGGTGTTGGAATCCATATCCAATACGGATACGGTGTGAAGGCGGTCGACCTCTTCATAATGCGGTTGACCTGTTAGGTGCACAAGGGTCGGCCTATGAGATATTTAGTTCGACCTTTCATTCTGTTAGACCACCAAAGCGGTCGACCGTATTATGTAAGAGGTCGACCGCGTCTCGGAACCCCACATACATGAATTAGTCCATTCGGTCGACCGCATGTTGGATTAGGTCGACCGAAAAGTCCATGTCACGGTGACATGCATGTCACCGTAGCAAAATCCTAAAGTTTTAGATCATGTAGCTCTGAGTAACTATCATGGTGGCTGATATTTGTCATAAATTTGGAAAAATGTCACTCCGTCAATCTTCATTATCACTACTGTAAAAATAAAAAAAACTTCATTATCACTAAAACGGATATTCCCTATGTTTGGCCCGGCTTTTAGAAGTGCTTTTATGCTTCAAAAGCTGAAGCAGGGCCAATCACCTTTAAAAGCTCGACTTTTGAAAAGCCGAAAGCGCTTTTGTATAACATAAAAGTGCGAAAAGATGTTTTGAAAATACAAGATTATTCTTACCATATTTTAATTTTATTTCAGAAATATAATTTTCCTTCATTTATATCATTTTAAAAATAAAATAAATTATACAATCATATTATTTAATATAAAAGAAATCTAACAAGATCAATTTGTTTACTTTTTATTGTTTAGAATTTTTATTCATATTTTATATTATAAGTCCTTTATTGTCATTTTACACAATTTTTCATATTAAAAAACACTTCTAATTTTTTTTTGAAAAGTACTTATCTAAAAGCTCTAGAAGCTGCTTCAGCAAAACCTACCGCAGAGCCAAACTAAGCTATTATTATTCAGATTTAATAATATCTTCTCTTGTTAATCTATGTAGGCATATCTTAAACGCTCATTCAAAAAATGATTAAAGCCCTAATTTTCATACTCCATTCACCTTCATAAACTCATGTCCGACATAATAGTAAAGAATTCTATCTAAATATCTATGTATATTGTTCGAACCATGCATGTAATTTTCAAATTCAATAATTTTCAAGAAGCGAGTATGTTAATAATTTTTTTCATTTTAAACATCACCATCAACTGCTAAATGGATAATGTTAGAGTCTGCAAACCACATGCAAGCTAGTACTCAAGCTTTTGTACATATTTATTTATTGGGTAATTACTAATTAGTCACCTACAGTACATAGGTTGGTTCCTGAGCCCTCCAGTAAAAAACAAGCTGCAGAACTTGTTGATCTTTGAACAACTTTAAGGCAAATGTGGTAAAAAGGATATTTACAGCAGGAGGGAAGTGGCAGTGACAGGAAAATTGACCCTTTTCTGGTGTAAGCGTGCTTCAGATCTCTGCAGCCCAATTACCCTTTATTGGGTCAACCTGTTTTCTTTTCAATTTTTTACGGCTTCTCATAATTTGTGTACGCTACTCATTTGTGCTTTAATGTTGTTTATATTGTTATTATTTGCTTTTGCTCAATCAACTTTAGCTTTAACAGGCCAGGTTTGTTCCTTTTAACGCAAAATAAAGTCCTCCACATTTTTTTTATGGATAAAGCTTGGCCTTAAAGCTTGGTTTGATTCTTGAATATGTTAGTTCCTTAGGAGGGTGAACTCATTGTAAATGGTTATGGGATTCAAATTGTAAATAATTATATTAGTGTTTGGATTATAGTTGGATAATTCTTTTGTTGTCGAAGTCGATATCTGCTTTTGGTTTGAATGGTGGAGCTATGAGATTATTGAGTTGAAAGCAATATAAATTATAACATAGCCCATTCTATAACGAAAATCGAATATGTAGCTTTTCCACATGTTGATAAAGAAGTGATAGGGGTCAAGAAAGTTCGTTGCCAAGCTTGGTGTGGTTTCTAGCATTGTCGCCTCTAACGAACTATATTGTTATACCAATAAGAAAAAAATGGCGGGCAAAGCAACTACGGTCTCGCCATATATCCAACATATATATTTTATACTTTTTTATAACGGTAATATGAGTTTGGTTTATTAGGTTCTTCTTAAACGATTCGTACTAGCTGGGTTTCTAGAACTCTTTCATCTTATTAGAGAAATAATTGATGTTTGATGCGCGATCTCAAAGCATACAACATTTTAATTGAAGACAACTTGACGAATCTACTAATGAAGCATCTCACATGACATAACCCTGATGGACATTCTAGTTTGATTGTTATCGGATACATGGATGATTAATTTTAATGCAAGTGGGAGTTTATTGAGTTTGGTTCGCAAAAAACCAGTTATAGTTGATGGTTACACTCAGACTATTTTTTGAAGATTCAATTATATATATAGTATTGTTTGTTATATTGAATTATATGGTAATAAACAAATATACTACAAAACAACGTACTTGAATTTCCATATCCGATTTTTGTATGGAATAAGGTGGGGTAGTACATTTGAGATTATATTTTGAAATTTAGAGCGAACTCATATGAGAGATATGAATATTTATGATTAGGCACTTGAGTTAGTATTGACCCTAGATTCTACAACGATTTTAGATTCATCAAAAACCTCTGCTTAACTTGAACCATTTTCTTTTCTGAAAGGCCTCGAGAACCTACAAAATGAAATAATCATCATAATCAAGGCTAATTCCTTTTTTTTCTTCTTCTTTCCAAACACATGTGGAGAGCGACATACAGTGTGGAACAAGGGGGGATTTCAAATTTTCAATGGTTTGTCACTTAGCTTGTCCACCAACTTTGCCAAAGGTTGGGTTGGTGTTGGTGGAGAAGGTGAAAACTACGCACAACTAATAATTAATGGAGAGACCAAATGATAGGAATTGAAAGCCCTAGCAAATCAGCTTCCACTTCTATGGCCACTACGATGCTGCATTCTCTTTTGCGTGGGCTACAATTTGCTAATGGAAGGGCAGACAACAATTCCTTTTGTTTTTGGGTTCCACATTAAGAATAAAACAAACCCTACCAATATATATGTTGATGCGACTATGAATGACAATGGGTAGGTGGGGATGGGTATTTGGTACCGATTCTATGGCAGGTTGGGTATTTTGTTTTGGGCGTGGGTCGGACAAATTGACTCATACAAATAAATATTTGAAAGAGAAGAACTTTGAACACGAGTTTTTTTACTAAAAAATCGAGAAAGTTGAGGTTCCCAGCTATTTAAAATTTTATTTTAACTAAAATACGATGTAGCAAAAGTAAAAACTTTAAGTAATTTGAGCGAAAGTACATATAATTTAGACAAAAGGGTTGAAAATAGGACGAGTCATGTTGAAACAAGTACTCATGTTCAACCTCGCCTTGCCTAAGAGACGAGTATTATCCATCTCAAAACATGCCCAAACGTACGGGATAAGATATATCAGATCGGAATTGTCCCCTCTAGATGCAACTTGTATCGTAGATTATTGTCTATGGATTTTCAAGCCATTCGTGAGGCTAATTACCTATTTGTTAGCCTAGCAAGCAATCCTCTTCATTTTGACCTACGATGCATCATCATCATTAACAACAACAAAAACTAGCTAGCTAATGATGTTTCATTGATTTGCTTTGTTCCTTATAGCACTGTGGCACGCTTTTCTTTCATTGGTCTCGGGTGAAGTCTCTGGCGGATCTTTCTTTCTTTGGCGAAGGGTGGCATACTCCCTTCTAGCCTATCCAAGTGCGACTTCTCATTCAAAAAAAATAGAAAAGGCGAAAGCATCCTTTTCTTATTCTTTGAGAAGTTAACTATGAATCCTAGGTTGGTCCATGTCTCCCAAATATTAGAGTTCATTGCTATGATCATGGGTTAGGTACATTACAAAGATATGAACGGAAGATATGTCATTTGTTGCCAGTTTTAATCCCTCATTAAACGTATATAAGTTCGTCTCAATATTTATGTAATTGGTTGACGGTTTTAATTCCCTCAAGGAGCAATTTCAAAATTGTCTCATATTATGTAGCAACAAAACCATAATTTAGAAGGTACATAGGTTAGAAATAATAATAATAATAATAATAATAATAATAATAATAATAATAATAAACTCCTTGTTTCCAATGATTATTACAAAAAATTGAATTTCGGAAGAGAAGACAGATGTCATATATCATCTAGATAATTTCGAACGCTAGCTCATCATCATATTCATATGCATATACATGTATTATAATCTCAAGCTAGAGATATTCCATGACCCCTCCTTATCATTGCCTAGCTAGCTACATAATCTGCAACAATATAGAAGATTTTTAAGTATTTGCTTACAATAATGGCTCCAAATCGAGATTATGATTAGTGGGTAGTGATGTAGCCATCCAAGTTAGTTAGTTATAGTGATCCATGCAAAGATCCCAATGCCACCTAACCCACAACTATTATAATCAATTTCTCATATTGTATACCCACCATGCTTTTGACTGTCGATTAGTTTAAAGTCTAGCTAGGGTTCTGCAGTTTAATCTGAATAATTATGCACAGAGAGAGAGAGAGAGAGAGAGAGAGAGAGAGAGAGAGAGAGAGAGAGAGAGAGAGAGAGAGAGAGAGAGAGAGAGAGAGAGAGAGAGAGAGAGAGAGAGAGAGAGGCATAAAAAGGTGGTCACAACCAATGGTACGTAGGCTTGAACAGAATGATGAATTTAAAACAAGCTGGGGTTGTAATAATATAAGCAATAAAAAAGATATGAGGAAGATTCATGTTGAGTGCCCAAATCTTTGAGATTCCCTCTGCCCTTTTGTAAGGCACATGAGCATGAGCAAACCTTTGGCTGGCGTGAGTTGGAAATAAAGAGTAAAGACCCAACATATTTCATTATATCGTGATAGTTAATTAGAATAAATCATGAATTAATATCAAGTATGATACTATACACTCAACCCGAATGAGTAAATACTGGGTTGAATTATCGAGATTTAAAGATTGATTTTATTGAAAACAATGATTGATGATGTTGAGATGAAGGGTCATCGGGATTCGAACAGAGGACATTTCGGTCACAGAAGGGTTTGAAGTTTGTACAGATTCGGACACCATCTGCTTAACAGAAAGCATATGGGGTTACGGGGATTTGAACAAAAGACCTCTCTGATACCATGTTAAGAACCAGTTGACACCAACAACTCAAATCGTTAAAAGATATTAAATAATTGATCATATACTATTTACTAATCAGAGGATTATCTCGGGTACAAGAGAGGATATACTTAGAGACAAAGTATACAAAGAAAAGATATGTCATGGTTCAGTTGCCTAGCTTGTGGGCGGCTGCATAAACAGATAAAAGATGCGCTTGCTAAATGCTGTGTCCTGCCTGTCCTTCTGAACGAGAATAAGAATATTTATAGTCATCCTTCCTGCTGCACAGATCAAACTGCAAAATCAATATTAAACTGACTAATAAGTAAAGATTTTTATATGACAAATTGCGATACCATATTTTGCTTACGGTTCCTCTCCTGTCATGACAGTTGGATAAGTTCCTAATAATGTGTCCTATTCTGGAATATGGTTGTAGCAGATTTATTATGGTGGTAGTTAGGGTGCAACAAAGAATGACATTAGTTAGTCAACATAGGGTGGCAGTCGGTCGGTTTCGATTTAACTGCTGTCGAGACACGATCAACTGCTGTCGTCGACCGACCGTCCAACCAACCTCGGTTAGCAGCAAACCGACCGACCAGTTTTCGGTTTCGACGCGGTTTAACTGGGGCAACCGAAATTTGAAGGCTAGTTGGGTTGGAGCTACCTAACCGACCAGTAACCGGACAGCAAGGGAAGAAAACCTAAAATCGCCTAAAATTTGAGTGATGATTCTGCTTCTGGCGGTCTGGCCCAGAATCAAGAAGAAGAGCTTCTCCCAGACCGAGCTTCTCTCTTTCCTTATTCTGCCTGGTGCCGAGCAGTGGAGGAGGCGGCGCCGCGGCGCGGGGGGGGGGGGGGGGGGGGGGGTGCCGATTTGATTCTCCTTGACCTTGACTGTGGAGGCGGCGAGGCACGGCGGGGGCCGGGGAGGAGGAGGTCGTCGAGGCGAGGCGGCGGGCAGAGGCAGTCGCAGAGTGTGTGAGGGTTGAGGGAGAACGAAGGCCAGCAGTGCTAGAGTTGGGGGGGGGGGGGGAATTGGTGTATTTAAGAATAGGCAAAACGACGTCGTTTCATCTCGGTCAGTTAGCTGGTTAGCCGACTTTGGTTTCTTGGCTAACCGCCTGACCACTAATCCCTTCCGTCAACTGACCACCCCTCTGTTTTTTCGGTTTCCGATTAGCCGCTAACCGGCAAGCGAAATGACAGCCGTAACATATAGTGGTTCTGTGTTACAGTACAAATTAACATTGGTATAAGAATCAAACCAGATTAATGGTTGAGCCAGTAGAACCGTCAAACCAGTTGCGATAGTGGTCCAGTTTATTATTTGAACGGTTATTGATGGATCAAACAATTTTTCACGGTTTAACGGGTCCACTGGTTCACTATTTTAACCACAAATATATTTTTTTTAAAATAAATACTTTAGGGTGTGCCTACGGTGACATGCATGTCATGGTGACTTGCACTTTCAGGTCGACCTCGGTTAGGATTAGGTCGACCTCATATAGGATCTGGTCTACCTCATTTAGGATTCGGTCGACCTCATATAGGATCAGGTCGACCTAATCTGTTGTTTCAGTGTAAAAACAGTTCATGGTGCCTACTTTGGACATTCATATCATACAATTGGCTAGATGGAAATAGAAGACTAATGACTTGTTTTGAAGCTGGAGTTTCCCTCTACATATTGAAGTGGAAGAGAGCTCGATAAGAAGTCCAGAAGACCATTTTTGAACCTCATCAAAAGGCTATGCCAAAACTGGGAAACTGTCTGGAAATGGCCAAGTCTGGAAACGTGTTTGTGAAGCCTATTTTGGAGCTCAATTCGAGAAGCATGAATGCAAGTCAAGTCCAGGAGCCTCTACCACATTAAATTAGGTATGTTTTTATACAAATTCAAGGCATTGGATGAAATATTGGATATCTGTAAGGCTTCAAACAAAAGGGTCGAAGTTGCTACGAAGGCTGTTTTTCTGGCTAACTTCGAGCACAAGCAAGCTGGCAGAAAAACAGCATTTGTAGCAACTTCGAGCCTTTTGTTTGAAGCCTTAAAGATATTCAATCTTTCATCCAATGCCTTACCTTTGTATAATAAAATACGTAATTTAACGTGCTAGAGGCCCCTGGACTTGACTCGCATCCATGCTTCTCAAATTGAGCTCCAAAGTAGGCTTGACAAACACGTTACCAAACTTAGCCATTTTCAGGCAGTTTCCCAGTTTTGGCATAGCCTTTTGGCCAGGTTCAAAAATGGTCTTTTGGACTTTCTATTGAGCTCTCAAGTACTTTAATGTGTAGAGGGACACTTCAGCTTCAAAACAAGCCTTTAATCTCCAATTTCCATCTAGCCAATTGTAAGATATGAATCTCCAAAGTAGGCACCATGAAACTGTTTTTACACTGAAACAACATATTGGGTCGACCTAATCCTATATGAGGTCGACCGAAAATTGCATGTCACCGTGACATGCATGTCACCGTAGCAAAGTCCAATACTTTCACATAAACTAAGACCATCAAACCATAATTATTAATTTTATAGCACCTTCTTCTCATTTTCCAATATTGTTGTCTACTTTACGTGGCACCGTAATTTTTAACTTGAATTAAAAATATTATGATTTCTTTTGTGAGTCGGTTTGAACAAATTATTAGATATTTTGGAAATGGTATGAATTTGAAATTGTTTATGGTCAATGATAATTTCTTTCTTAAATTAATGTAATATACAAGTCTTGTATGTTATATATCATTAACGATTCTATCAACGACCAACCAACAATTCTATAATGGTTAACCACTGAACTCTAATTCACTAAATTTTCTGGGGCTAGTTAGTTAAAAGTTAAAACATGCCAACTTCAAACATCACAATTGCACGTGTTAATAAGAGAATCAATTAGTACATAATAACGTCTTTGTATTAGTACTTGTATTAGTACTGTGCGTTCCTTATCTTCAAATTGAACAAGATAACGGTCCAATAACGTTAGCAGTAGGGGTGGAAATCAGTAAGGTATTAGTATCCCAATACCAAATACCAAAATTTTGAATACTGAATTACACCCTAAAATCAATCCCAATAATACCAATCTCAATCCTAAATAATTTCGGTATCCCAATCCCTAAATATTTCAGTATCCGAATCAGTACTTCGGTATCTCAATCGATATTATCGAACACGAAATTAATTACCTTGACAATGAATAATTAAATATATAAATTAGATTTATTTGTTTAATTTAGGGCAAAGAGACTAAGCAAAGTGTTTTGAGTTTGTCTAGAGCTAGGATATGAATAAGAAGAATGGAGGAGAGGTGACATTTTAAATTCTTGTCATTGGTAATCTTTTATTTGAGGAATCAGAGGCTGAGAGACGACTAATACTAATGTTTACCTTTTGGTGTTATGAAAATAACAAAAGATTAGGTGCGAGATGAGAATGACTTAAATTGGAAAGTCAAAATTGAGTTGGATAGGGGCTTCTAAGTTGTCAAAGAGTGATGAATGACCAAAGGTTGTATGTTATATTTAATTAATTTTTAATTTTTGGTATTTCGGTATATACCGATCTCAACCTCGTAATCCTAAATACCAGATAGCACTCCAAAATGAATCTCAATCCCTAAAAAATAAGTCAGTATTCGGTGATACCAAATAATGATAAATTTGATAAGATATTCGGTATATCCCAAATACTAGAATTAAACTTATGGCCCTAGTTAGCATGACGTAGTAACCCCTTTATGACGTCAAGCATAATATTCAAATCACCTCAGGCACAGGTGAGCAGTGACAGAAATGGTTATCTGACATTGGGATATCAAAGTTCCGGTACTGTCCAAGGGCCCAAAAGAACTATCCCAAGGCCCAGATTCTGAGCAAACTGGATCTTCGCATCAATGGACATTTTTATCATCGTAGCCGACCCAAGACCCGTTGGCCATCGAGTAATACGACACCGTCTCCCTGTCATGAACAACGCTTGCCTTGTTCGTCGTCGTATCCTAAAACCCCATCACCGGGGACCCACCGCGACAGCCGACAACCTTCGTTCGACCCGATCCCGTGATCGGAGGGATCCTCCAGAACCCAAGTCCGGCAATAAAAAGGAAGGCCCATCGCTGGCTTTTGGGTCGATACACCAGCCTCGAGCCACGACCAAATCCCGTAGTATTCGGTACTCAACTTACCCTTTGGATCAAACAAGGCCTCTTTGGGCCCAGCCAAATTCGCCCACGGCCGATGGTAAATCGTAATTCGGCTGGCCCAGTCCAAGTACTTGTTCATAGCCGGACCCGGATAAGTCCGTGCCGGCCCGGAGTTGGCGATTCTCTCTTGAGTAGGTTTTAAGGGTATGTTGAGATGTGTATATGGTTTTGACTTTGAGGGTATGTTTTTGACAAAGGGGACTTTATTACACTTAAAACTGGTCAATTACAAAGAGGGAGAACGAACCAACAATCTGGTTCCAACAAGAGGAAGCCCAAGGGCATCTGGTTACAAACAAATCTGTGTAAGACAAAATGCAACAATAAAGAACAGAACACAGTCTGCAAGCAACCACCCAAAAGAGCAAAACCCTTTGACCGAAAAAGATCATCATGAATCTCTCTTGCAAACAACCAATCAAAGTGCAACAAAACCACAATCAGCTTGTCCGATCATATCGAAATCCATGGTAGGTGAACATCATCACTCCATGTGCCGCCTCCTGGGAAAAACTCAAAGGCATCCATCACAGTGAATCTAGAAACTAAACTGCGTGGCGGTGGAAGAGGATATGAACCAGATTGCTCCAAGTTGAAGAGGCAGAGGAGGCCGAGGCAGAGAGATCAGGTTCGAAGAAGAGCAGAAGCTCCCAAAGTAGCCACAAACTCTACGGAAAACACTGATTCCCAACCTTAACCACCGGAGAAGACCCAACCCACCACCATCCGACGGCTCACCAAGCCACTCAAACACCTAGGGAGGTCGGAGAGGAAAAGAAGGGAATGGCTTCATCTTGAAGATGAGGCCACCAACAAGGGACTACCCCACCATCCAGATCTGGAAGATGCTCCCAAGTTGCAGACTCCAGGATATCGAAATCCATCACAGATGCTCCCAAGATGAGGGTATGTTGAAAGCCTATACTTGGACTAACCTTTTAGACTTTACAAGAATAGTCGTAAATCACAACTAGGTTATACGCACACAAATTGTTATGTTGGAATTTTGAGTGGTTTGAATGGAAATGAAGAGAACTAAACTAAAAGAAACTCTTGACTAACATATAAGTGAGAAAGTGAGAAGGAAAGTGGATATTTAACAGGAAAGCCCACCAAATTTAGGAAATGAGCAAAAGGAGACCGAGTTTCGCATTGGCTTTGTTGCTTGCTCGTATTCAGATTCAATCATATAGATTTGATTTTATTGAACTTTTTGATGCTCAGTTAGTTTTTTTCCTTCTTTTTGTAACCAAACGAAATGAATCGGTTATAGTCCAGGCTAGCTGGTGTAACGGTTGGAGTGATGTGTTCGATCCAATTGTCATTGAACGAATTGTTGGAATGGTTGTGGCTCAACTATCCCTTTAGAAGCACTCCTTTATTTTCTATAAACAACAGTACCATTGTTTTGCGACACAAGTTTTGTCTAAAGGTTTTTTATCCAAAAGAAAATGATAATTTTCTTCATCTTTGCATTCTCCTCTCTACAGAAGCATCAAAAGAAGGGAAAAAAAAGTTGTGTGATCTCTTTATGTTCTTGAGTTTGACAATTTTCCGAGATTTCAAATAACAGTACTCCAGAAAAAGTACGCCCATTATATCATTGGAGGAATAGTTCCATAACATTGAGTATCGTGACAGAGGAACTAAATTTCTTAAGCAAAAATAGTATATTCTATAGATATGGTTGTTTTCCATGCATAATTGAATGATTCTATCCAACTTTTTAATGAATATTGGTCTCTACTTTTTTCTCCTTAAGTTTTTGTCCATTTCAATTTCTATATGTCGTATGCACGTAAGTTTTTTATAAGAAATTTGAGTATACATGAGATATAACATATTCCAAAATTTGAGAAAGACGAATGAGGATTATAATAATGGAAGATAGAGCCCTCTAAACTCTAAAGTACTCATTTTCTTCAATCTAGTTTGGGGGATGCAGAGCGAGAAACGAGTAAAGTTTTGTTGCATAAAAGAATGTAATCCATTGAAAGTTTTTTTTTTTACAAAAGATAATCTTATATTAATTAGAAAAGAGATAATTACACCCTGGACCGGAGCCAGGTCTGAAAATCAAAGAACCGACTTGCAGACGGGTACAATAGAAGGGCATTTCGAGCCACCAAGTGGGCTACCCTATTACTACGCCGACCTACAAACCGAACACTAAACCCTTGCTGGTTATATAAGCAATGCAGAACTTCCTCAAGAAGAGCTCCAATCCGGCTATCACGCGCCTCAGCCCTGACGAGCTTTTCAACTATCACCAGAGCATCCCCTTCAAAACGTACCTCCATCAACCCTGCATCGGAGCACCAACGGATTGCCTCCCGGAGTGTGGGCATTTCCACAACCAAAGGATCATCAATGACACCAAACTGGACACCTCTCGCCCCAATCACCAATCCGTCAGACGATAGGATAACCATCCCACCCGCCGAATGCGAGCCACGCCTGGTAGCGCCATCCCACTTACAAATGAACGACCCCTGAGTAGTGGCCGCACCCGACGGCAGGCTAGACCTCATAGGGGTTCGAGGAACTGAATTATCACCAGGCAGGTTTACCCACTCCTGAACTTGCTGATTAAATTGACGCATAAGAGCTGGGATCCCAAATTGTTTGCCCTAAAAAACAACCCAATTACGAGATCGCCAGATCCGCCAAAGGACAGCAACAACTGCCATCAGCAGGTGGGGGTGCTGAATACACATCAACAACCTTTTAAGGAACAAAGGAAATGTCTGCCTCGGAAGGGCTTGCCCAAGGTACTCCAACCCCGCATAATCCCACATAGCCCTAGCCACTGGACACTCAAGGAACAGATGCTCCATTGTCTCGGACTCGGCCCAACAAACCAGGCACCGAGGATGGACAATAACACCCTTTTCAATAAGGGCTTCTGTCGTCGGGAGGATCCGATTGAGAAGTTTCCAGAGAAAAATGCGCAACTTTGGGGGAATAGGGGCATTCCAAACCTTAATCCAACTCAATCGATCCATCCAACTGGCCGACGACCTCCACTGGCCTTCTTTTTTATCCAGAAGAACAGCCAAGTGATAGGCTGATTTCACTGTGAAAACCCCATCAGTCGTCATATGCCAGATCAGCCGGTCCTCAACATTCCCACGAGGAAGCGGGATCTCCTTAATCGCTCGACAGGTAGGAGGATCAAACCATTGACCTAGCCTTTCCTCACACCACCGCCCCTCACCTGAGACAATTACCTCAGCCACCACCGGGTTTCCCCCACTAGGCATAACGCACGGATTAGGAACTGGGTTGTCCGGGTGAAATTGAGGGACCCAATTACTCTCCAACAACGGGGCGGCTAGCCCATTTCCAATTTGCCACCGAAGGCCTTTCAATAACAACTCACGATAAAAAAGAATGCTTTGCCAGCCCCAAGACGGGCGGGAGCGAGCAGTGGCTTGTAAGAAGTCCCCCTTGGGGAAATATTTACCCTTATACACCTGAGCCAGCAGGGAGGAGGGATCATTGAGGATCCGCCATCCAATTTTAGCCAGAAGCGCTTGATTGAAATGCTCAAATCGGCGAAAACCCATCCCCCCATCATGCTTACTTCTGCACATATTACGCCAGGACATCCAACGGATTTTAGACTCTCCATTTGTCACTCCCCACCAAAATATGGCCACATGTCTATCCAGTAAGCGGCACAGCGAGAGAGGAAGACGAAAACAGGACATAACATGTAAAGGGAGAGCTAAGGCCACTGATTTGAGCAAGGTCTCTTTCGCAGCCCAAGATAAAGTACGCTGCTTCCATCCCTGCAGGCGCGCCAGTAATTTTTCCTCCAGATATCTGAACGTATCCATTTTCGATTGGGCGATTAGGGTAGGCAATCCCAGGTACTTACCATGGACCCCCACCGCCCCTACCCCAAGAATCTGGGCGAGGAACTCCTGATCCGGAAGGGTAATATTACAGCTAAAACAAACCACTGATTTATCCAAATTGACTCGCTGGCCACTAAGCTCCTCATACTCATTAAGCACCAAAATCAGGTTTTCGCATTCTTGGAGAGATCCATGTAGGAACGGGTACGAATCATCAGCGAAAAATAGATGCGAGATCCGAGGAGCCCGAGGGGCCACCTTAACTCCTTCCAATCTCTTTTCTGAGATAGCTTTGTGGAGCAGGGCTGCAAACCCTTCCGTGCACAGTACAAAAAGGAGAGGAGATAACGGGTCTCCCTGCCGGAGCCCCCTCGAGGCTGTGAAGAACCCCTTAGGAGAGCCATTCATCAAAACAGAGAAAGAACTCGAACGGAGACATTCATGAATCCATCCTTGCCACGTAGCATTGAAACCTAACTTGTCCAGAACTGCCAGGAGAAAGGGCCATTCGACTCTATCATAGGCCTTTTCCATGTCAACCTTAAGAGCCATGTACCCTTTCTTTCCTCGCGTTTTGATTTTCAAGTAGTGCATCAGTTCGTGTCCAAGGAGGACATTTTCCACAATCTGGCGTTCACGGATGAAAGCATTTTTCCCTGCCGACACAATTCTGGGTAACCATCCAGCCAGGCGCTCAGCCATAATCTTGGTAATGATCTTGTACACAAACTGACAGAGGCTGATGGGGCGAAGCTGCTTCATATTTTCCACATTGTCAACCTTAGGGATCAAAGTCAACCAGGTATGATTGAAACTGCGCAGCATTCTACTAGTAAAGAAGAATGAGCACACAGCAGCTATCACCGACTCGCCAACAATGTTCCAGAACGATTTAAAGAACTTCCCAGTGAAGCCATCAGACCCTGGCGCTTGTTTCGATCCCATTGAGAAGACCGTTCTTCTTACTTCTTCTGGAAGGACCACATCCGTGAGACTAGCATTCATCTCCTCCGTGACCCACCGGTCGATTGGCAAAGTGGCCACTCGGTCCCTCATGTTAGGCACCTGACATTCTGAGGCGAAGAGATTTTGGTAAAAGGTTGAAGCAATATCTGCTTTATCTCCCTCCTCAGTGATCCACTCCCCCGCATCATTTCGAAGGCCCGCTACAAAATTATGCTTTCGACGAGCCCTTGTAACCGTGTGAAAGTAAGCCGAGTTCTTATCCCCTTTCTTTAACCAGTGGACCCTCGACTTCTGCTGCCAGTAAACTTCCTCCGCTTCCCATTGCCTATTCAGCTCAGATTCCAGCAATTTTACCGTCTCCCAGTCAATGGGGAGGATCAACTTGACACGGTCTATTTCCGCCTGGATTGTCTTAATATTACGGAGGGAATTAGTAGTACCCGCCCTGCTCCAATCATAGAGCAAGTGACGGAGTTTTTTGAGCCTCTCCCACAGTTGATACATAGGGGTCCCCTGTATCTCCTCCTGCCAGACATAGGAGACCATTGCCTTCACTTCTGGATTATCCTCCCAACGGGCATCAAATCGGAAGAGAGGTCGACTATGGCGAACGTATGGTTTATCGGAGAGGAGCAGGACTCGGTGGTCAAAACCTTGATCAGTAAAATGTTTAACGAGGGTATCAGGGAAACGGTCAACCCAATTCTGGGAACACAAGGCTCTATCGAGGCGCTCTCTAATACAAGCCGCCCCCATGCTTTTATTCGTCCAGGTAAACAGGTCACCTTGATACCCGGGATCATGAAGGCCCAGATCATGGATGAAATCGCCAAGGCCGATGGCATGGGAAGCATTCCAGGGATTACCCCCATCTTTTTCGCTTGCTTGGAGCGTCACATTAAAGTCTCCTATGATCGCAAATGGCAGAGTGAAACTCTCACAAATCTCTCGTAACTGAGCCAATTGATGAACTCTTACAGCTTCAACACAGCTAATATAGACGAACACCACAACATAAGAATGATCCACTTCATTGATTTGAGTACAAATACAGAAGTTGGAATGAAAAAAAACCGAAGCATTAACTTCGGGGACCCAAGCTAGCACAAGACCACCAGCCGAATCAACAGCATCAACAAAAAAACATTGAAATTTATCAAAACCTAAACCCCGTATACGACGGGAAACGACACTCCGGCGCGCTCTTGTTTCCGAAAAGAAAACAAGGTCCGGTTTATTAGAACGAACTAAACCTACAACAGTTTGAAATGTGAGGGACGGCCCAATTCCTCTCACATTCCACGCGAGAAGCTTCATTTATCGGGTTGGGGCCACTTTTGGCTGGCTAGCTCCACCTGATTAGCATCATCCTCCACGAACTGTTTCTTAGGGCTGGGCTCCACTCCCAGCTCCCCTTCAACCTCGCCCAGCGGGCGCTTGCGACTGTCAATATCTGGGTCAGCAAGATTGGACCCGTATTCATTGAATTGACCCCGTCATGGCCATCACCATCATCCTCCCAAGACTTTATCCCTTGAACCAGTTCAAGGTCCATGCCTTTGCTCCTTATAGTATCATCCTCTGGCTTCCTGTGTAGCCCGGATTCAAAAGCAGCCACAACTTGCTGGACCCGGCCCTTCATTCCCCGAATAGTCTGCGGGGTCTTTTCCTTAGGGGCCCGAGAGGTAATCATAAACTGGGATACATCGTCATCCGAAGAGGGATCCATTAAATTGTCACCAGCTCCCTCACTGTGCGTCCCATGGCCATTGTCCGGTCCCACTGGAGGAAGAGTCGCGGCCTTAATGAGGCGTCGCCTAAAATTCTTTTTCACCACCTCCCCTTGCTGATCTGCTGGGCTGGGATCCTGCACATGCCCTTCTCCTTCAGCATCAGAGTCTGCCAAAACAAGCCAGCGCCGTGGCTTGGGAGCTGGGCTCGACTGCACCAAGGTGGACTGGGCTTCCTGTCGCAGGTCTCTCTTCCTGGGCCGGCCCGCTACCATTCCCTTCGCTTTGGCCGCAGAGGAGACGGGCTGAGGCTTAAAACGGCCTCCCCGGTCCCGTTTCGGGCCTGCTTCTCCTCCCTGCTCGGCCCGCCGTGGCCCAACTCGGCCTTTCAGCGGATATTGATGACTGGGCTGGCGGACAGGTCGGGCCCGCGGCGAGCGCCTCGCATGGAATCCGCGTGGGCTTCTATGCCTGTGGCTTTGGGCCTGCCGACCTCCCCCATTTTTTGGGCTGGTCCTTTCCTGCGGATCAGAATGGAGGGCCTCACTTCCTAGCTGATCCACCTGCGCCCTAGGATGCTTCTGCATCTGGTGATCAGCACCTCCTCCCACCGCCGTGTTAACCCAAACGGACTTCGATTTACCACGGAATTGCTGAGTTTCATCCTCCGACTCATACACGCGAACACCCAATTTCTTGGTGGATATGTGAGGGCCAAATTTCTCCTGGCCAGCCGGAGGATCAAAGGTACATTCGTTGATAAAATGTCCTACTCGGCCACACTTGAAGCAGAAAGATGGTAGGTACTCGTACTTCAGAGAAACCCAGAAGCGCACATTATCATCAATGACCGCCAAAATTTGCGATCGCAGCGGCTTGGTGAGATCAAGCACCACTCTCACCTTCACGAATCGCTCCCCAGTTTCATGGCTAGCAAAAATCCCCGCTTCAAGCACTTGGCCCAGCTTGTTTTCAGCCATTTTTCTCCCGAACTGTTGCGTGCAACACTCCTCTCTGACATTCCACATCTGCACACGCAGAGGCACCATGGCCAGGTCGGTAAAGACATTTCTCGAGATGTTCGGTGTCCATGGCCTCAAGTGCAGAATCGAGTCATTAACCACCCATGGTGTTCGTTGAAGAACCCATGTCTTAGTCTCTTCGGACGGAAGAGAAAAATCAAGTAATCCTTGTTTGGTCAGCACCACCCTCAAGGTTCCTTTTACTTTCCAATGTTTGATAACAGCATCCCGAATCTCCATGGTGGAAATCCGTTTGTTGGTGAAGAGACGGCCCAGCAGCGAGTGCGTCAAGCGATATTTGGACGATTGAACCTCATCCATTGAGAATTCCACAACTTGATCAGAAGAAGCATGAGCCATCTTGCACTCCTGAGGACCTTGAGAGGGACTCGCTCGGGCAGGAATCGATCTTCTCGGGGGCTCAATGCTATGCACTTTAATGAGAAGCCCTCCTGGGAAGGGGTTTTTAAAGGCCTTAGACCAGGCACTTCCCGAGAGTCCCACTCCGACTTGAATTAGGTTTCTTAGATTAAATTCTGATTTGGGACTCTTATCACGCGTAACCAACCGATCAGGAAGGATACATGGAGGCCCGAGAATAACGGGATTGGTATCTGAGGGAAATACGTTCCCAACAGACCCACGGCAGAAAACCACCGGTGGACGCTGCTGCCGATCACCAGTCGAGGGATCCCGACCCGGAACAGAGATCCGAACCTGGCGTTTCTCAGCCGTAACCATGCTCGACCCATCGCGAGTCCACGACAGCAGCGTACAGGTCTCTATCCCCATATTTCCGTAATCAATCTCGCACGAATTAGGGAGAGAGAATCGCCATCCACTACCTTTCATCCGGCGTCTCCGTTTAACCAGCCCTTCGCTATAATCCTCAATTGTTTCTTGAGTAGCATCTAGGCTTCGTTTGCCATTCCTTACTTCGGGACGGCATTAAAAACTGGCACCAGGGCCAAATTGCCGGACACGGGCACGACCTCGAGCCCAATTCCGGCATGGGGGATGTAAATGATCCATCTTCCCCGATTGCAATTTATTCTGCGGCGGATAATCCGCCAATTTTGAGCGATTCTCAGCCCGTTCCTCGCGCCATCGATTTTGATTCCGCACACAGAACATGAGGACCGCACTAAATACGTCAACCAACCTTTCTCCGACGAGGTTAGAGACTCGAAGGGAGGGGGAAAGATCTCCTTCACCCACCCCCTTTTTTTTACAAGCATGCTGGCTCGACGGAGTCCGAACGGCTTTACCATCACCTCCACTGAACTGCTCCGCTCCGGGTTGACGAGGATCCTTATTTATGGATCCCCAATCAAATCCCCGCCGATGAATCCACAGGCAAGAAGTGACCACTAGCAGTATCAGGGCGAACACCAAGTCCCCGATTTCTCTCCAGCGATAGAGGAGAGAGGGGAGAGCGTCGAGCATTTTTTTTTTCCTAAAACAAAATGTATCTAGTGAAAAGATTGTTGGAATCGTCGCCAAACAATATTATGAATTATGATAAAAACGTGATGTGACACGGGACCCACCAACCTCGATCACTCTTTTTTCCCCTCTCAAATTTCAAAAAGTAAGTTCATTGAAACAATGCAATTCACCCAACAACAAATCGTTGACCTAGATTTCCCCCACATATGTCCTGTTCGTGTAATATCTCATTTTTGGTGGAAATGGAACACTACTTCAACTCTATACATAATTGAACCCACAAATTAAGAAGTAGACAAAGAAGAGAAAGATGAGGTGGATACCAATATATCCCAAATGGACTTTTCCTACCATAAAAGGCTAAACGCCTATGTCCACTTTCTAGGCCAAACAAACCTCGGAATCCCATGTAACAATATATACCAACCCATGCGATATACTTAGCCTAGTCATCAATTGAATATAATCAAATCATAGAATCAGTACTTGGGTTCATACAATCAAACCTAACATACAAATCTAGGGTTCTCCATACCCAGATGAATGGGAGAACTACTCCATGGAGAAAGAAGCAAAAGCAGAATCAGACGCGGAATTCATACTGTGAAGGATGGATTCCTGCTCCTGGACGTTGATTGGCACTCCTCCAAGCTCAAGCCAAGCTCCAATGGTGATGAAGATCAAGCTAGGGCACTTGGAGACTCTTGTTCGTCGCTTTCTCTCTCTAGGAATCGCTCTATCTCTCTCAAAACTCGAATCCCCTTCTGTTTTGGCTGAAATCTGCTTAAAAGGGCATCACTGGGCAAAGCACGGTCGAGGGCACGGCCGTGCTTTGTGATAGACCGTCATTTACACATGTTTTTACCCCCATTCTTACACCGTTTGAGGTGTTGATTCTCGTGTTTTAGGCCGATTTCTCGCTAGGTTGTGCTTGTTTGTGATGTTTCAGGTCCTAGTACGTGAAGGAAGGCTTAGGAGCGAGTCTGGGGTCGATTGGACGAAGAACGGACGAATGGCGAGGTTTTTGGGGAGCTGCACGGGCAGACCAGGGAGGCTGCACGGCCGTGCACGTGAGCAATATGGCCGTGCGCCTTATGCCGAGGACACGCACGGGCAACCCCTGAAGCTCGCACGGCCGTGCACCCTGGCCGTGCGAGAGGGCTGAAGTTCGACTAAATGACACGCTGCGTTTTGAGTTGCACGGCCAGAATGGTGATATGCACGGCCGTGCACCCTGCCCGTGTGAGTCGGGATTTCCTGGTTTTAAGCCAAATTCCGAACCAAAGAGGAGGAGAGCTGGGTTTTTGGATCCCAAACACCCAAGGGACGAACCAAAGAGAGAGAGGGCGATTTGAGGGCATTCTTGGAGTGGAGTTGGAGGATTTCTTCGCCTTGGAAGCTCGAGGAACAAGCCCGGACTTGAAGACTGATCATCTGAAGATTCTTACTGCAGTCTCTCTCTTCTCTATGGAGTAACTTCCCTTCACTTAGGTTTTGAGGAACCCTAGCTATGTTTGTTTGATTGGATGATTGTATGAGTACTCTGACTGGATAATCTTGAGTTCATATTCAATCTATGCATGTTTTCATGATTCAATTCTGCTTTAGTCGAGATTATTGATTCTGCTTTGATTCTATGAGAGGGAATACCTGATTAGGTCAATAGAGCACCATAGATTGATAGTAGTGAATCGATTGCTTTAGTCGAGGGTTGATTCACTACTTTGTATCGATTGAGAACCTCTTTCGATAGAGGGAGTCTAGTTCACAACGCCTTGATCAGTTGTTCTAGAGAAGGATACGTCCCTCTAGGCAATTGACTCAAGAGGGCCTTGTTCCTTTAGTCGAGACTCAAGGTCTACTCAAGGATTCTCCGCATTGTGAATGAAAGTGAAACAGGTTAGAGATCATCAATCATTAGTCTGGCTAGTGGCTAGGGGGAATCATACCTAAGTGAGTTCCCAACTTGTAATTAGATTAACTTTAACTGTAGTTTGCTAGAGTAGTTTTAGTTCTTTCATCTTAATCTGGTTTGCTAAATAAGAAAACTGAAGCTGAGTAATAGTAACTCTAGAGACCCGTGGATTCGATATTTATCACTTGAGCCACTATACTGCAGTCCCTTCCATTGGTTACACTTGGCCATTGTTAGGAGTTGTGTTTTGGCGTGTCACTTTGCTCCAGCCCGCCCGTGCTTTGGCTAGGGTTAATTACACGGCCAGCCTGTTGGGAGAAACACGGCCGTGCTTTTGGGTGGACACGGCCGTGCTTTGGTGGACACGGCCGTGTAATTTCTTAGCCTTGCCCGTGTTTTCAGCTCGAGTTTGCCAAACTCAAATCAGCTCTCGGCAGTAAAAGCACGGCCTAGGAACACGGGCGTGTTCTGTTTTAGGTGTGCTCGTATTTTGGCTCCAGCTCCACCGAATGACTTCCGAATGCCCCGAAACTCGTGCTTAGCCTTTCCTTTGACGCCTGGGACCTGAAATATGACAAAGTAGCACAACCCGGCGTAAAATAGGCCAAAAATACATGACTATGCCCCTCAAACGGATAAGAACTAGGGGTGCAAATACGTGCAATTACATCGTTATCAAATTCCCCCACACTTAACCGTTTGCTTGTCCCCAAGCAAACCTAACTCAAACCAATGCAACTCTCCAGACCTATATAGCAACAAACAACCCAGATCGTAGGTAGAGGACTTCCTAGATCATTTAGCAGCTTACGAGGTCAACCGACGCACAAGTCATCTCATAGCTTCTTCGGCGAGAGCACTAGTATCGAGTCGGCATCATGGCAAATAGTGAACAGAGGACAAATGAATCGTGGATGAAGAGATTCTCAAAAACAAAGGATCATGGACTCACATTTCTCAAGGTGCTCTATTTTCTTCTTGAAGATGGTTGGAACCCCTTTTCTTTCTGTTTTGCTTGTTTTCTGTTATTTTTTTTTTCTTTCAAGGGTCCCAACCTGCTTTTCAGAAAATGGGGGCTCCCACCTAGCAGAGGTTTTGCGGGAGCCCGGCTCTTACCGGCCATGGCAGGAGCGGATGTCTCGAGCCTCGTGCGGGGGAAAGACATGTAAGGGGGCTGGAGGTAGTAGGTGGAAATTGGGAACGAATTCCCGTCTCCCCTTACACACTTTCGCCCTATTCGCACGGGAGACGCTATTTTAAAGCACATTTTCGAGCACCTGTTAAACTCACAACATGAAACAAGAGTCCATGACAGGTAGAGAGTCCACAACACCACACAATTCAAGGGTCCTAAGATCACTAATTCACTCAATCAACCAACACAATATGAAGAAGAAATGAGACTTCTTAAATGCATCAACATCCTCCATAGTGCTACACTACCTCCCTAGGTTGCATATTACTATAGAGACTGTCAATTCAAAGCATACTGAGCAGGCAATTGCAAGGAACACGAACTTGGAGCCCTCAAATTTAAAAATTTGGACAGTGGACTAGGCTCCAAGCACACAAACATATCTAATGCAGTCAAAAGATAAACACCCCCCCCCCACACTTAAGATCGACATTTCCCTCAATGGAGAAGAGGGAAGGGAAAGGGGAACGATGTTACCGGTATGCACGGACTGCAGGAGACTGGAAGCGGACCAGTCGGAGTGAAGCGGACTGGAGAGAGGACCAGTCTGGAACAAAGCACAGCTAAAGGGGAACAGAAGAGCTCAAACACAATATGTTAGGTCCAATGGTCAGCCCAATAATACATCATCCAAAACAAAAGAAAACAAACCAAAACCAAACCGGTTTACAATCCGACTCAAAACACAAGAAAGAAAGTCAAACCGTGGTGGGGTTGCCTCCCCACAAGCGCTTCTTTACCGTCTTTTAGCTGGACGCCCATGGTGGATACTCAGGGAGGTGAAGGAACAGGTGCCTCCAAGAGCGGATCCACGTCGCTCTTGAGGTACAGCTTCAGGTTGTGGCCATGCACCCGACGGATGCGACCACCATCATCAGTCAGCTCGACCTGGCCATCCGGCAAGATACAGGCGAGTGAGTACCCGGACGGCCAGGGTGGTCGTGGTGCAGGAGGTGGGGCCAGCTCGTAGTGGTCTCCACCCTTCTTCCGTGCAGGCTTAGCAACCTGCTGCTTCGGCCGCCACTCCTCCTTGATCTTTTTGTTCGGAGGCGAGACTGGATGGAGTGGCGGCGGAGAAATGATAGGAGGGTCCTGCAAAGTAAGAGGTGCAGAATGGTACACGACAGGCTCGTGTACCTGATCAGAAATGGCATGCACAGGTGTGACAGCAATCATAGCACATTGATCGAATTCAGTCACAGAAAAAGTAGCCTATTCATTCCCAGCACGCAGGATCAGTTTACCATCATGCACATCAATAAGTGCATTGGCGGTGGCAAGAAATTTTCTACCCAGAATCAAAGGCACATCCACATCCTCATGTATATCAAGAATAACAAAATCAACAGGATATGTGAATGCACCGACACTGACAAGCAGATCCTCTATGATTCCCCTAGGATGCGCAATGGAACGATCAGCTAGCTGAATGCTCATCCTAGTAGGGCTAAGTTCACCTAGGTCTAGCTTTTTATACAACTTATATGGCATGACATTTATGCTAGCGCCTAGGTCCGCCAAGGACTTGCCTACATGCATGCTGCCAATAGTAAGAGGGATAGTAAAAATCCCTGGATCCTTGCGCTTTTCGGGCAGCTTGTTCTGCAGGATAGCAGAACACTCCTCACTGAGCATCACTGTCGAAAGATCCCCAAGTTTCTTCTTGTTGGTGAGAAGATCTTTCATGAACTTCGCGTACTTGGGCATCTTCGACAGTGCCTCCACAAACGGTATGCTGATGTTGAGCTGCTTCAACATTGCCATAAAATTGGCAAACTCATTCTCCAACTTGCCTTTGTGTATGCGAGTGGGGAAGGGAAGCTGAGGTACATGCTCCTTAACCACTGGTTGTGGCTTGGGAGCAGGGGCTTCCTTCTCCACCCGCAC